TTTCATAATTAATAGAAATTTTCAAATTCTATATGGATTTACAAATTAATAAACCAATAACACCCCCTTAGTTTTTTATTCATTGCAAGGATATAAACATGTAACTGAACTTGTCACATGTCTTGCATTTGCATAACAAATTGGCCTGACACAGCAAATAAGAACTTCGAAAATAAAATTAGAAAAGAAAAGACAATTTGCATGTAAGCCAATCGAATCATATACTGTATGAAACAACTCAACGACGATTTGTCTTCCACTATTAATGCTAGCTGCAAATCTTTAGTTTGGGGTTGATAAATCTAATTAAACGAATAAAAATAGTTCTGCTTTTGTAACCAAAGAAAATAGTTATGTTTTTTTCATAATCAATGAAAATTGTTAGTAGTTTGATTTTCCATTACCAAAACATTAAAAGCAGTGGTGCTTGCTTTTGATATATAGACAGTACCAAAAAATTTTGATACTGTCTATATATCTAAACTAGTGGTGCTTGCTTTTGAAAATGAATAACAGTATTTTTACAAACTACGCATAAATTTATTGTAGTTTTCAAATCCTCCATTGTGTAATGACATAAACACTTTGGTAACAAAAAAGTAACTAGCGTGAATAAAATATGTTGTTTTATACGAGTTGGTAATCCCCTTATAATATTAAAATATGTTATCTAATACCGGAAATAAGTACATTTAAGTCATTTTATGTTATACAGTATTTTATATAGTACTAACTAGTTTAATTACTTTCCGTTTCTTAATAAGTCTTTCTGAGAAATGTTTTCAAATGATGTGCTATATATTTGCCGATTGTTAGCAGTTAATATCCTGATATAATCTACTGTTATGAAATAATTTTATGACAACCAATGATAATACGGAGATAACAAAAATCGAAAATAGTATACAATGTAGATTATATATTATATGAAAATATTATAAAAACACTCAACTATTCGTTACGTGGGTCAATATGAAAATAGTATTGTAATAAGTCCCATTTTTATATCATATAGGTTTTTTGGTAGACCAGATTTTATCTTATATAATATGAGTTTCTCGAATAGAGAGCATGAATAATTATATCAAAGACAAAGAGAGCTGAATAATTAGATCGAATCAACATCCAAGTCTTTTGTGTTGGAAGTCATCTAAAAGCAAGAAATAATTAAGAAAATTAAGCTAATCATCAATATTATTTTATTGCACAATCATTGTAATTAATAAAATGGTAAATTAAATAAATAAGTGAAAAGAAAGTTGCAAAATCAAAATAAGGGCATAAAATCTACGTAATGTATGTATTTGTGTGCGTGGCGTATCTATTGAAATCTGGACACAATCTGATCCAGCGATGCAGTAGTTATACTAAGGTTTTTTTTTATAAAAACTAAAATGAAAATTAATTTTAATAAAGCTTATAAAAAAAGAGATCACCAGTTCACCATGAAAGAGATCTCTAATTTCTTAGCTCAAGCAAAATAAGAAAAATCATTTCTCTCTAGAGAAGACTTTCTCTCTCTAGTTCTTGCCAAATACCTTAAAATTACAAGATCGCAAGTGATAATTAAAGCCGAGCAAAGAAACATGGGAAGTAGTTTCTTTGGTAGACCAAACATGGGAGGATCTTCGCCGTCCTCATCATCTCCGACGTCTTCCTCTTCTTCTCCGGCGACAAGAAGAGGGAAGAAGAATGGGTCCGATAAGCCGAAGCAGCCACAGAGAGGTCTTGGAGTAGCACAATTGGAGAAGATTAGGTTACACGGCGAAATGAGTTGCAATAGCTTCAACAATTATAACCCTTCTTTGTATCCTCAGGTAACATATACAAACACTTCTTCATATAACCGAGAGATTCCGATCCGAATTAAGACACCATAAGTTGGTTAACATGAACATATATACATGTTTAATGAACCATTGAACCATTAAGACCCCATAAGTTGGTTAACATATTCCTAAACATATATACATGTGTACGTATAATCTGATCGAGTTCTTAGGTTTTGCTTTAATTTTGTCGGGTCATTAGATGTTTTATATGAATCCGACCAACTTTTATTCACTGTCCCATGAACTCTAGATGTTTATAACTACTCAATCATACGTAAAATTGATCCCAATTTTCATATATAAACTTGTTTTTCTTCTTCGTTGGATTCAATTAAGCATATTGAAATTAGTCAGCTGAAATTTTATTTACATAGCATATGTTGTTGTAAAGTTCACGAGGGCACTTTTCACTCATTTCTTAAGCTATATACTTCATAAGATTTAGATTTATGAAATAAATTTAACTAAACTTCTATCTAATTATATATTTAAATCAATTATTTTCAAGATTATAAGTTTTATAAAACTTCGTATATAAATTTGAGTATAGGAGGATGTGAGGATGCAAGGAGGATATTCATCCATACCATCACAATCTTCGGCTCCTTACGGTTTCTATCCAAACATGATGGTATATATAAATTTCACTTTAATGTTGTTGTATATGTGTGCGTTATAGAGATGATATTTTGTTCTTTTTAAGCAACAACATATATAGGTTTATGTATATAAAGAATAAAGTACTTGGATTGGATCCCTAATCTAACTTAATCTAATTAACTAACTTTGTATTTCAAACTTCCATCCTAATAGGGGAAACCTTCTACAAAACAAAAAAAAATCTAAAGTAAACGAAAAATATCAACTATTAATGTTTTTTTTTTTTGCTCTTCGCAGATGGGAGTACATAGAGATCAATACGAAAGAGCAACCATGAGGTACATATAAAATTACATATATGTGTAGGTGTAACATGTTATTATATTTTGTTTTGTCTTAAGAATAATTTCATTTCTTTGGTTCAAACAGTTGGAATCCAAGCTACGGCACCTTAGAGAGCCAACATTCTTTGGAACCAAACATCACAAGACATTTCCTACACGAGGTTCTTACTCTATACCCTCAAACATATATGCATCATGTCACAATTAGTAATAATGTTAGTCACTTGATCATCTTTAGTTAAGGGGTTGATGAATTATATTGTTAGTAAACACGTTCATTCACATGATCATTAGTTACAAAAAAGAACCAATCAATTTCACTTATCTTGCAACAGGATTTGTTTCATTATAATTTTTGGCTTATCGTTGTTCATTGTAACCATGGTTCAATGTACTTAAGTCATAATGAAATGTGGTTGACACTATTTAAACTGTTATAAGTTGTAGATGGATTTGTATATAAGTATTCTAATAACAATAAAAAAAATCTTGAAATAGGATCCAAACTCAACAAGGCGGAGTAAATCTTTGGGATCGGGAAACCAACACTCGGGATCGAGTGAAAATCAAGAGCTGGACTTGGAGTTGAGATTGTCACTTTGATCATTACTTTGTAATGGTTTGGTCTTTATGAAATTGAAAAGAAGTCGCATCGTTTCAATTTGGGGTATCAAATTTCTTTATATTGTAGGAATTGTATGATCGTCTCAGTAGAAAAGATTTAAAGAATGGGGTTCACTTGTACATTTTGGGGGAAATTAAAAGATAGATTATATAATGTCCTCATATAAATTATGCTTGTTATTAGTTGTGCATCATAGGTAGGCTCCCACACGAATGTTATACCAAAAAATGTAACATCTTGATTGTTTTCGTTCGTGGTATTTCATATCTCCCAGTCTACCCTTTTTCGGTCTGAAAAACTTATAGTCCGAACAGTCTTAACCTAAAAGTCCATTATTTTTTGGGTTCAATACTGTTCGAACTTGTCTTTTTCAAGGATCGGGTGGGTTTATACCTTTGGATTTTGGTCTATATTGACATTCATTCATATGTGTAATCACTTCCAGACTGACCAAAAAAAATAGCAGCCTTTCTTTAAAACATAAATAACCAAATTTGCTTATATCAACCAAATAAAGAAAAACAAAAATGATTGTGCAACATCACATTGCAAATTTCGAAGTTTTATTCTAGAGTAAATGAATGACGACATTAGTAAAAGAAATAGTAACAATCAAGCAGTAGCTGGAACATCAACAGGTCCAGAGTGTTTCTTTTTGCAACAACATGTGTTTCCTGGTTTACAATATCCTCCTGCAGGAAACCCTAACTCATGGCAAAGTCCATTGCAATCTGGTTTAACAAAATTTCCACATACTCCTGGACACATCGGATCGTATATTATTACATTCGATCTTGCTTCTGAACCTATCAAATTATTACATTTATCATCAGTTGTTTGATAAAAATCCTTAAAACGAAAACTTATTTTGATATTTAAAAGATTATACCTGAAATTAAAAGGATGAGAACAAGAGCAATCATCATGAACGTATTCTTATAAAGAGATGCGACCATCTTGTTTGCCATTTTAGTTGTTATAGAAAGTTTTGTGTTGTGCTTGCTTCTGCGTAGTGTTTTAGAAAATTAAACCATATAAACCTACTCTATATATAGAGAGAGAGAGATATGTGTGTGTGTGTATGTGCATGTAAGCACTTTATTTCAAATCCTCGTATTGATTTTGAACGTCAGTTTTCGAAATCAGCGGTATTTAATTGTGTAAATCATCTTGGAAATTACCAAAATGTAGAAGAGATTTTGGAAGGAAATGAATATTATTCGTTCTTTATGTTGGCTGATTCTGTCTTTTAAACTTTCGATAACCACGATTTGATTTCTTCTACCATCCTTTTGTTTCGTGATCTCTTGAGAATCTTTTTTTTTATTGGATTCTCCAAATATATTTATCCAAGGAACTTCCTAAGTTTAAAAGACAGAATCCATCCTCGAATTCATGGCCAACTTCGAGCTTTGGACATGACGGTTAATCTGGCGTAGCACATTGGCAGAGCCGATCTTTGTCAAATTCTATAAACAACCATTTTTTCATATAAACTTTCTAACAAAATCACCTTTTTCGACATCAAAATCACTTTTCAAAAACACAAAAGCCTAAGTAATATTTAAAACAGTGAAAAACGAATGTCTAAAAACATAGAAATAGTATTACCATTCATTATTTAAAAACTCAATCTTTCATCATTCCAGATTTGCAAAACCTGACCAAAACGCTAACAAACCATGAACCGGTACAGAAACTACATGCGGGATTTCTTGGAACTGTCTTCCTTGTGACCTAGTATTCTTATTTTAAGACATTGTTGTCTCTTCAACGGTTAATAGGAGTGTGCATACGCTCAACGATCTTATTCACAGCATCACGGGACATAACAAGCGTATCGTGTAGCAGAATGCTGTAAACATTTAGCCCCTGCAAAGCGTTATGTAAATAAGGTTCAAGATTCGCTAACTGATTAATCGAGAAACCACAAGGTTTGATATGTAGTTATGTATCTTACTATTGATGGAATTATGTTGACATAGTGTAGATTTTGGGTGGCTAGCTTCAGCTTTTCATCAATAGCACCACCTTCTACAACAAGGACTTTCTTTGTGTTCTCCATTTGATTGTAATAATTCACAATGTTCTTTGTTTTATGCGTAGGCAATGCCAAATCTTCGAACACGAGGAGCTGCATAAATTGCCCAATCAGCAGATACAATTAGATCAGTTTAATAACAAGAAGAGATTAAGAAGAGCACATGTTATGATTAAGAAGAGAAAGAAGCTGACTTTTCCTTCTGCGGCTCGAGCTGTCAATGCTATTTTCAGTCCAAGCCGTCGAACCTGCTTATTCATCTTTATCGCATGGCTTCTTGGTTTGGGTCCATGCATTACACAACCACCTCGGAACTAATGGTTCAATAAAGTTCAATCAGACAGCTATTTGGTGGCAATAAACCTTTACAATCAAAAACTGATTTACCTGTGGACCACGCAGTGTACCATGTCTAGCTCGACCTGTACCCTTCTGATTCCATGGCTTTCTACCAGTTCCACTAACCTCACTTAATGTTTTGGTCGAATGAGTTCCCTAAATATCAATAACATTTGTCACACTTATTGATTGCTTATTACAACTAAATTAAGGCACTGTGAAATAACTAATTAATTACCTGCTGGCGTTTTGCAAGCTGCCATCGCACAACATTGTGAATGATATCTTTCCTTATTGGAACATCAAAGACATCACCTGCTAAAACCATGAAACCCTTCTCCTCATTCTGAAAATTTGTCACCGGAATGACCAAGTCTTGATATTGTCCTGTGGAAAGTATCAATAACAGAACCAGTTAATACATGTCCAGAAGTGAGAGAAGCAATAAGGAAAAAATCATTGTTTTATCATGTCTCAAGCACAATCACCAAAAAGAGAGAGAACATAACAGAGCGAAACACTGGTACTCAAATCTGCGTTAACCTTCATGTAATAAGCTAAATAAGGCCTATGAAAGTCTTACTCCTCCAAAACCCGAAGTAACTAATTTTTCTAACCCAACTACTCACTCTCCATTTCCCCAAGATGATTCCCAAGAGAGGTACAAAATTCTCAGCAAACCACATGAAAGATACAGAGATTAGAATTAGCCTGCAACTAGCTTGTAGCCAAACAAGTACATACCTATGGTTCGGTCTGGTGTAAGCACGGTCTTTTTCGTAAGTAAATCAGAAGGAAATGTATCATCAGGAGTCAGAATAGAAGTGGAGAGCTTTCGGTTGGAAAGTAAAGCCATTCCATACTGCGTTCATAACAAATACGAAATATTAGGAAGATAACCAATTAAGTAGAACTCAATTACATGCAGATGCATAAACTAAACACCAACCTTGAAATCACTAGTAAGAGAAGATAAACCATTTCCAGACGTATTCGCCGACAAATCTGTTCGAAAGAGACAGAGAAACAATCAGAGATCAAGGAAACAAACAAAACCAAAGAAGCTTGGAAAATGAGATAATACTTGGTGAAGAGCCTCGTCCTAGACTTGTTAAGGATCCAAAAGTGCGAAAAATCCTTCTTGACATTGAAGCAGCCATTATCTCTGATTCAATAACCTAGCTGCTCATCTACAAACACGAAATATCCAATTTCTCAATGTTATCTAATCAAAAGGCAAAACATCTACAACATCACAATGGCGAGATTATTCGGCAGAGCAAAACTCAAAATCTCAGTAGCTATGAAAAGGCTAGTTCGAGCGATTAAGAGACAGAAATGAAAACCAGTCCCACATACATTTCCGAGAATAGATCTCATCTCATAGAGCTTCAACCAAATCAGCTCAATAGAGCAGAAGAATACTCACCGGAGTCACAAGCGGCGATGATAGACGGCGGCGACGAATCAAGGAGGCTCCGATTTGGTGGTGAAGGTATTTAGGTTCGAGGTTCAGTGAAGGTTTACTCATGTGTTTTGGATCGGGTCATTACGAGACGGGTCGGGTCATTATTGGGTCGTGAAGTTAAAATGTGTAAAAGCCCATAAGTCAGTTATTTTGGTTTGCCCATAATAAGCCCATCAGGTGGTTAAGGCCCATGACCTATTCTTCATAACACCATTAACACCACTTCTCCACTGGCTTACCCAATTTGAAAATTAAATGTTTACGTAGAAAAAAGGTCATTAAATCCAATAATAGGAAGAGTACGAGGGATAAGAGCAACTACTAAAGCGTTTTGGTCTAAAGGATTTTATTGATAGAATGCATTTGAGTTATATAAAGCCGACAAGGATCGAAATCCTTTCGAAGACAAAGCTCGCGGGTACAAAAAAGTGGGGCACTCCTCAAACAATTACGTTCATCACCAATGTTGCATAGTCCGTCTCGAAATTCTTGCAATATATCTCACAAGAAAGAATATTCACCACAACCAAAACCACTGCAACGACTGGTTGGTTCATTCATTTATGTAGTAAATTTGTATATTTATTTTCTAGTTGCAATTATTCATTTGAACTGTTTAATTTGATGTAAAAATGTAGTATTTTTCGTTTTTTCTATTTTGATGTGGCTGAGCAAAATGATGTGATATTAATTAATGTGAATCGAGCCATTAATGGGAGATATCTATAGCTTCAGTGAAAACTTGCATAAGGGCATATGCAAGGGTGCATCTTTGAAGTTTGATCTTAAGTGAGAAAAAATATTAAAATATTGTAAGAGCTTTAATTAAGATCTTTTGTAAAGTAAGTGATTATTGGTAGAACATGTTTAGATCATAGGAATTAATAATTTAATAATCAAAAACTTTAAATGTTTTTTAAAAATTAAAAAAAAATTATTTTTAAAATTGAAAACATAAAAACTAAACTTATATTAAAATTGATTTGAAAATAAAAAGAAACACAAAATACAATTCCAAATAATTATTAAACAAAAATCGCAACCAATCCGCGGGTGCCACGTCGCCACAAGAACAGCCCAAAAACAGTTCTAGCCCAAGATCACTTTCCATGTTCCAAAGCCTGTTCTCAGAAATTTTAATATTTTTATAACATAAGAACAATCCAATAGATGGCCCGATAATTATGGTCTAAAGCAAGTACGAGAGCTCACATGTGTACTGGTGTATTCCAAATTACATGGCTTCTTGACCTCATCAAATGTTCTTGCCGCCCAAACGAACAAAAACATTCACATGCATGTGATTGGGTTTGTGTGGTGGGTTGGGAGAAGAAGTTCGAAATACTTTTTGTTACAATGATATTTGAACATAGAAATTTATTGGTAATGTCCGACATGTTATGGGCTAAAAGCTACTTGTTCCCGCTATGTACAAGCATCTTCTATTGCCACCCACCAAAACCAACATTTTTATTGGACAAACCCAACGTTTTTATAACTTTTATATATTTCTTTATTTGCTTTTTTAAGCAATGAGTTACAATTCTATATTTTTTTCAATCAAGGGAACATAGTCAAACCAATAATAATCAATTGAACATTTCTCCTTTGTACACTACAGTCTAACACATTTTCAAAATAATTATTTACAGGTTATCATGCAATTTAAAATTCAAGACTTCTTGTTGTATTTTTACTCAAATTCCACAGTTCTTCTTGTTTCCAAGAAATCAAGTTTTCGTCATTAAACCCATAATCTTTTTTCGTCAAAACCAACATTTAATAATACAAATTAAGAAATTGAGTTTTTTCTAAGATTTTTTCCTCCGTTTCACAATAAATATCGTTTTGACATTGGTCACACGAACTAAAAAAATAATAAAAAGTTTATTGTATCATTTTAAATTAAGTTGACTCTTGTTATTATTCTTCTATAAATTTGAAGTTAAAGTAGATCTTTTACTTTTATATTAAATTTTATACAAAAAAAGCTAAAACAACATTTATTTTAAAACAAAAAAAAATCCTTAAAAGGTACTTTTAATGTAAAACGGAGGGAGTATTTTACTGGAGAGACTTAATCGTTCAAACACGGATTCACTAACATCTTTGATCATAAAGACCTTTGTAAAACAAGTGAGTTATCTATTATATATGGATAAATTCACAATCTTTGCATTATTTTGGCTATGAATGTCAATAGAATTTTAATTGGTTTTTAGTTTTTGGAATTTTCTTGTTGGTTTGTAAATTTGTTTTTGCTATAAATTTAAATTAATAAATAAAAATAAAAAAAGAAATAGTATCTCGATGGATAAAAAAGATTTTGCACAAAAACCTCAAAATCACGGGTTTAGTTTCTGTTTTTGAGAAATTGTAAAAACCACTCAAAAACTAGTTTTTCTAATTTTTAAAAATCTTGAATAGTAAAAAGAAAAAAGATTTTCAAAAGAAACAAAAACCAAAAACTAGTATACATTCAAAGCTTTCGTTAATTTGCTTACTCAATCTTTTTTCTCATGAATATATGATTACAAGATCTAATAATGGTTGCAAATAAATAAATAATAACTGTTGGGTTTTTACAAAGTAAGAAGTAGAGAATAATAGTTTTTATAGCTACTACAAAAAGTCATAAATCTAGAGTGGTACGACTCATATCCAGTGAAAAAAAAAAAAAAAAAAAAAAAAAAAAAAAAAAAAAGTTGTGAACATCTTTTCTTGTTCGTTGTCAGTGAAAACAAAAAGAGAAATTGGCAAAAATAACCAACAAAAAAATTATAATTCATTATCTAACCATTCTAACTATACTACTATATTATTCTATGTATTATGTATATTATTGACAGTTTTGTCCATGTGTTAGCGTATGTCATGTCTCCTCACTGTTTTCTTTTTCTCTCCTTCTCATTTTATTTATCCTCTTTATTTTTAATTTGCTATAAGTTTTTCCACAATAAATTATTTAAATTTAGCAATTTCGTTTGTGCCGTGATTTCAAATTTTAATACAAATAAATTTAATTAAAAAACTAATATGTAACTAAATGATAAAATTATTTGTACTATATATAACAAACTAACATTGTATTCTATTTTTTCTAAAAAATTCATCATTCTCAATTTGGTTTCCCTATCGTGTATCCTTCAAGATAGAACATTCTTTCTTAGACGTGTGTTTAACTCGACTGTTTTAGTTTTCATATTATATGATTTAGGATATAGCGTTTTCTTTTCGTTGTACGTTTAACTAGATCGTTTGGGTTCCATATGTTGTATCCATTAGGGTATAATATTTTTTATTTGGCGTGCGCTTAACTTAGTCGTTTGGATTTCTTATGTTGTATATATTACCGTATAACATTTATCTTTCGATGTGCGTCTAACACAAACGTCTCAAAAAGTAGATAAGTTCTTCTTAATAAATAAGCCTTGTTCTATTCTATTTCATTTTCTGTGTTCTATTTAGAAAAAGAAATGTTGCACTTTTAACCATTTTTTTGTTTTGTATAAGTTTATATCCGTTTTTTAAAATTCAAATTATAAAACATGTAGAATAATATCTTATGACTTTTAATAAAAGAATCATAAACTTGAATAATTTTTTTCAAACAAAATATTTGAGTTACAATTAGAAAGGGGTGAAGAAAAAAATTAAAACAGGAGAGATTCTCTCACCTGCCACCTTAACCTTGAATACCAATGATGCAGCTTCTTCTTTCCACCTCAGCTAAATTTCTCTCTTCTTTGTCGCTTTAGTTTGACACTAGTTTAGTCTTTTTCCCTCTCCCTTATGTTACTTTCTTAATTTTTTTAAATATAGTGCTATATTCTTAATTAAACATTGAATTTTGGTTATACAGCTAATTCACCCAAACAAAAATCTTGTGTTTGGAGATCATTTTTAAAGATGAAATGAACATATAACAATAAATAGTAAGTATATTAAATATGTGCATAATTGGTGGATACATTGATAAGGTGGATCTTTAATGATTGATGTGAAGTTTCGGATGAAGTTTTTTTTTTCTTTTTTTTTTCTTTTCAGTTTATAAAGTTTTTGGGTATAATATATATATATGATTCTATCAAATAATTGTTGGTGGAAGCATCTTTGACATTGTAGTTAGTCTGTAAGAAATTAGCAAACTGGAATATCCAATTAGTAAACTTGAGACATGCCTAATATATTTCAAACGGTGTGAATTATTGGATTACACTCAAGGATGCAAATTGTTGGATATATATACCCAAGAATGCAAGAAGTCGTTTTTAATACAACAATTCTTCACTTTTGCCGCATAACCGACCTCTTGCATCCTTAGACCATACACAGTGGGGCACTTTTCACCCGGGTGTAAGGAATAAAAAAAACAAAAATAATAGAAAAACAAGGTTGGAGAGAGGCAACGGGTGTAAACTTGCAACTTTTCTCCAAGGGGTGTAAGTGGCACGTGGCCAGCGCTGAATGGAGACAGGCAAAAACTCGGTCGGAGACAGGCAAAAATTATCATCTCTCTCACTATTTCTCTCTTTCTTTACTTTATTATAATACTTTATTATAATATTATAATACTGTTAACACCCAAGACACACATGTACTACTGCGTGTGCCCTTAGGTATATCTAACAATTTACACCGTTTGAGATATGTTAGGCATGCCTCGAGGGTGCATCATCCTTCCAAAAATTATCATTGTCAATGATTATGATAGCTTACTCGTATTCATGTCTAAAAGTTTGGACTTTAGCCTAGTACTTAGTACATTGTCTAAGCCTTTTGGCTTGATTAAATGTCGCACCAGTAACCATGTGAGCATTGATTATACTCATGCGATCTGAGATAAAAAAAAAAAAAATCTAGCAGTTGCAATAGCATAATTAGTAAGTATTAAGCAAAAGTAAACATAAAATTATCTATAGAAATATAATGGTTAGGGTTTATTTATAATGGAACCACTGAATTCTTTGTCGATCGGAGCGTTCCAAGAATATAAGAAGTCAGTTGTGAGGCTGATGGT